GCGGCCGCGGTGAGGCGGAGCCGGGAGCCGAGTGACGTCAGGAGCCGCCGCGCATGCGGCCCCGCCCCTCCGGAAAGCCGCTGCTGGGCCGCCCAGGTGCCTCACTGGGGTTTCTCCCGCCAGACGCACAGCCTTGCTTCTGTACCTGCAGCGCCCGCACCTCCCAGAGGGCCCCCCCTCCCCCGCCCAATGTCCCATGTCCTACCCCCTTATATGAGGCAGAGAAGCAGAGCGCATCATTTATTCAGTGTCTGCTACGTGCCAGGCTCGAGGAAGTGGCCAGAGATGGTGGCACACTGTTTTCTCATCTTTGAAACAGGTATACTATGGTTACCAGATGGGAATGAGATGAGACTTAAATGAGATATTGTGTAAAGCGCTTACCACAAACCCAGAAAAAAAGGCCAGCACTCATAAATGGTTACTGCCGCTGCATTTTTAATTATTATTACCGTTGTTATTGTAATTATCGCTGAGAGTCTTACAAGACATATTGGCTCTCCATCCAGGAGAGGCCAGGCCTTAAGGGGCTCCCTCCCTCAGACATGCAGCTCATTGGGAGAGTGGGGTCCTCCCAGTGGGAGTCACCTCTCAGCCAGGACCTCCAGGGCTGGGCAGGCAATGGGCTCTACAGAGGAAGGCATGTTCCACTACATTTCTGACTCTACCCTCCCCAAATGAAACTCAAGTCAAGAAATATTTATTAAGTACCTACTATGTGCCAGGTTACCGTGCTGGGGATACTGAAGTGAGCCAGGCAGACAAAAAGCCCTGCTCTGTGGAGCTTAAGAGATAGATAACAAAATAAATAAGTGAATGATATAGTAAGTCAGAAGATTCTGGAGAAAAATAAACTAGGCAAGGGGTCAGACAGGGTGGGTCCAGATTGGTGGGGTTTATATTTTGAGGTAGGGTGATTGAGAGAGGCCCCACTGAGAAGATGACATTCGGGCAAAGAGGAAAAGGGGTAGGCTGTGGGGGTTTCTGGATGAAGAGCATTCCAGACAAAGGGAACAACAAGTGTAAAGGCCCTGGGGTGGGAACGTGCCCACTGAGTGTGACAAATAGCAAGGAGGACAGTGGTCAGCCAAGGTTGGAGTGACATGAGCAAGGAGGACAGTGGTCAGCCAAGGTTCTGTAAGGCCTGGGAGTCTACTTTAAGGATTCGCCATCCTGTCCCCCAAAGCCCCCCAGTATTCAGTCCTCCTTTCAGAAAGACTGAGGACAACTCATAGTGTTCCCTTCTCCCTGCAGCAGTGGATCCAAAGCTCCTTCTTTCCAGTTGTCAGTGTCAGGGGTCTTTGGCCATAAGCTATGGAAGCCAACTTTGGCTAATTCAGACAAAAGGAATAAACTGGAAGGCTAAAGGGCATTCCTAGAATCTATGGGAACCTGGAGAACTGGTAAATGGGACAAAACCAAGGCAGCTCTGGAAACCCAGAAAGGGTGATTCTTGGGAATAGCCACCTGGCAATGACAGGTGGTTAGGGCACCACCCTCAGGTGAAAGGTGCTCTATCTGTTTGAGGTTCCCATTTCAGAGAGGGAGCATACAGTTGGCTTGGCCTGGGACACACCTGCCTCTTGCTGGGGGACGGCAGTCCCAATCATAACCCTACCACCCTACTAGCTCTAGTGAGGGGTGGTGAGTCCCCCAGGAGCCCAGAAAATGTGAAATGGTTGCTTGATAGCAAAACGAAACAAAACAAAAAACCGTATATTATAACCAAATATTGAGGACCTACCCAGCTACTATGCTAAGGGCTTTGGGCTTTGCTTGCATGATCTTATTGACTCCGCCCCCTACCCCCCAAGATATTTTTGTGATTGAGAAGGCCAAGCCTAAAGAGGACTTTGTCCAAGCTCACATGAACAGCAGTCAGAATTCTAACCTCAGGATACAAGAGATTGATCCAGCGGTTCTCCATCTTGACCACACCCCTAAGGTAACGGGTGCTCTTTCAAAAAGTCAGGTGCCTAAGCCTCACTCTAGGGAGCCATTTTTCAAAACCCACATCTTTCCTTTCCTTGGCAAGCACTGTGCCTGGGAAGTTGACCTGTGCGGATCCTGCCTTGAAAACCTGGAGCTTTTCTTTCAAGATAAAGGACTCAATGATATTTGGTTTAATAGCAACAGGAAGGTGGGTATGGATGGGACCATGGCTTGCTTCTGTATCTGGAGCTTGGCTTTCTCTGCTGCAATTGGATCATTAACCACTATGGGCACTGTCACATAAGATCGGCTTGGAAAGATTTGGACTCTCCCTGAGGCCAGAGCAGGAAAACTTCCCTGGGTTTCAAAGCCTTCCCCAGGGTCTGAGAGTTCCATCATCTGACCTAGGCTATTACTCCTCATACCCGCGCCGCTAACCAATAGCGGATCCGCCAGAAACAGTGAGAAAAGAATTTCTCCTGTAATGTCCCTTCAGCGCCCTCTACTGACATAGCTCAGCATCGTGCTCAGTATAAAAGAAAAACGCTTACAAAGTGAGGCTTATTGTGCAGAAGCAAGGCTTAAAGACTGAATTTGAGGTTGAGAAGCAATACATGGATAACTGGCACAATGCATGACCTCAGCTGATATATTATATCAATTCATAATATAATAACAATGATAATAATGGCTATAATTTATTGAGCACTTAAATGTCTGGCACTGTGCTATGAATTTCCCACATATTCTCTCACATAATTCACCAAACGACCCCATCGTATAGGTGCCTCCCATTATTTATATTTCATATGAAGGCCAAGAGAAGTAAAATAGCTTAACCTAAGACATGTAGTTAGAAGATAAAGGAGCCTGGATTCAAACCAAGGCACCCTTAACCAACTTCCTATACAGAGAAATCCTAGTTAACATTGTTTTGCGTGCCCTGTGAAGCAGATGCCCCTCATTGCTCTGATGATTCATTTTCTGTGTCAACTTGACTGGGCCTCAGGGGGGTCTGTAAGGGTGTTTCTGGATGAGATTAAATTTGAATAAAGCAGATTGTCCTCCTTAACGTGGACAAGCCTCATCTAATCAATTGATGACCTGAATAGAACAAAGAAGGCTGAGTAAGAGCCTGACTGCATGAGCTCATGTCCAGCTTAAGGGGCAATAGGTGGTCACACCCTTGCCCTCTCAATGACCTCCTCCAACAAAGTCTTGGCCTGAAGTGGGTTCCGTGGTTATTTTTAATGAAAGGCGTGCTGGACAATCGACTGTCTGCCAAAGGGGAAGATTTCACTGGTTAGATTTAATCATTCTCTGTTTACTAGGTGAGGGTAGCCTACCTCTGCATAAAATGCAGATATGAAAATTTGGGGAACACCCAGAGATCTCATGCCAGTCCAGGCACCTAATTCATTAACATTGACTCTCCTGGGGCTCCTACTAGTGACTTACAGACATCCGACATTGCCTACATCCCCAGATGGAGCCCATGACATTGCCTGCTTCCCCAGAAAAGTCAACACAGCAGACAGTGAATGGTGACTGTAGCCACAGGTAAGTTTACAAGCCTCCTCTTCAGGAACATCCAGGGATTGGAGCATGGAGCTTTTTACAAGATGGTTGAAGATGCTGTGTGAGCAGATGAGGGAGAGAGTAGTAATGGTGGGTTAATGTGAATGTCACTTCTCAGGCTGCCGCCCTGGTGCCATCTGAGTCAGGGTATGTAGGATCTGTGGCCCCCGAGGTCGTGAAGCCATGGAGTGAGGCGTGAAGGCGGGAGGCTCCAAGGAATTTTAAGAGAAGACTGACAGTTCCATTTGATGGACGGTGCTGATGGGTAGCAGGTTGATAGATGAGATGACCTCACCATAATTAATTTTCAAGTCTAAGATTGAGGCAAAAATAAATCTCACTTTTCCTGTAGATAGATAATAACTGCAAATCTTACCTTTACTTGGTTTCTCTTAAATAAGGCTGGATTTTTTTCTGATTTTTCTCAGGTAAGTTTCACTCATTTGTTTGAGTCTTTTTTGAGAGCACACCATGTTCTCAGCATCATCAGGGATATGGTATAAATAAGTCATGACATTTTTCTTATGGAGTTAACATTTGAGCTAGGGGAGACAGACAATAAGCAAGCGATAAAATCAATAAAATATGAGATTGTGTTTAATGCTATGAAGCATGCACACTGGTTGGAGTGATAGTGAGTGTCCATGGGGTGGGGACCCCAAGGAAATGAGAAGGAGCCAGTCAGGCTTATGGAAGAGTGTTTGAGGAGGTGACAGCATGGCTGAGACATGAATGGAGAGGGTGGCAGTCAGGCCAAGAGTTGGGAGAAGCTCATTCCAGGCACATGGAAGAACAGTTGCAAAGGCCCTGGGACGGGAATGAGTACGCCTAGACAAAGAAGAGGAAGGACGCAGTGGAGACAAACACAGTGAGTGCTAATGCCCCTCCAGTCTATAACTCCCTAAAGGAAACCAGAAGAGTCTTGATTTCCTTCTCACATCCTCATCCCAGATTCTAGCTTTTTAAAAAATTTATCGTGGTAACATTCATGTAACATTCACCATTTTAAAATGAACAATTCAGTGTAATTTAGTACATTCACGATATGTGAAATTTTCACCACTCTCTACTTCCAGAACATTTTCTCACCTCAAAAGGAAACTGTACTCTTTAATCAGTTATTCCCCATTCTACCCTCCCACAATCCAGATTCCGGCAACCACTAATCTGCTCTCTGTCTCTATGCGTTTGCCTATTCTGGACATTCCACGTAAATGGAATAATATAATGTGTAGCCTTCATGTCTGGCTGCCTTCGCATACCATAATATTTTTGAGATTCATCTATGTTATAGCATGTATCAGTACTTCACTCCTTGTTATGGCTGAATAATAGTCCATTGTAAGGAGATACCACTTTGTTCATACACTCTTCAACTGATTGGCTGTCGTGAATAGTGCTGCTGTGTACATTTGTGCAAAAGTTCTTTTGTGAACATATATTTTTATTTAAGTTGAGTATATACCTAGGAGTGGAATTACTGGGTTCCATAGTCTGAATGTCCCCCCTCCCCAATTTATATGTTGAAACCTAATCCCCAGTGTAATAGTATTTGGAGGTGGGGTCTTTGGGAAGTGATTAGATCATGAAGGTAGAGCCCACATGAATGGAATTAGTGCCTTAAAAAGGAGACTCCAGAGAGTTTGCTTGCTCTTTCTTCCATGTGTGGACACAACAAGAAGACGGTCATCCATGAACCAGGAAGTGTGCCTTGATTTTGGACTTCCCAGCCTCCAGAACTGTGAGAAATAAATTTCTGTTGTTTATAAGTATCCAGGGTAGGGTATTTAGTTATAGCAGTCCAAACTAAGACACAGGTCGTATAGTAATTTTATGTTTAACATTTTGAGGAACCTCCAATTCTTTGCCATAGTGACTGCACCATTTTGCACGTCTACCAGCAATATAGGAGTTCAGTTTTTCCACATCCTTGTCAAAACTTATTTTTCTTTTTCTTTTTTAAATTATAGCTATCCTAGTGGGTGTAAAATGGCATCTCCTTGTGATTTTGATTTGCAGTTCTTTGATGACTAATCATATTAAACAGCTTTTAATGCTTGTAAGCCATTTGTATAACTTCTTTGAAGATTGTTCTATTCCAGTCCTTTGCTTATTTTTAAGTTGGACTGTCTTTTTGTTGGTGAGTTGTACAAATTCTTTATGTATTCTGGATACTAGACTCATTACACATATGATTTGCAAATATTTTCTCCCATTCTGTGGGTTCTCTTTTCTATTTTTTGATAGTGGCCTACTGAGATAGTGTACAAGAGTTTAAAAATTTTATGAAGTCAAATTTATGTATGTTGTTGTTATTGTTGATTGTGCTTTTGGTGTCATATCTAGGTTATGACTATTTGCTTCTGTGTTTTCTTCTAAGATTTTATGGTTATAGCTCTTACATTTACGTCTCCAATCCATTTTGAGTTAACTTTTGTATATGGTGTGATATAAGGGTCCAACTTGGTTTGCATGTGCATATCCAGTTGTCTCAGTACCATTTGTTCAAGAGACTTTTGTTTCTCCACAGAATGGCCTAGGAAGCCTCTTGAAAACCAATTGGTTATAGATGTACGGGCTTATTTATGTGTTCTCAATTTTATTGGGTTGATCTATACAGGTATCCTTATTCTAGTACCTCATTTTTGATTACTATAGAGAAGTGTGAATCTTCCAATTTTGTTTTTCTTTTTTAAGATTGTTTTGGCTGTTTGCTGACTCTTGACATTCCATTTAAATTTTTGGATCAGCTTTTCCATTTCTGTGAAAATGGCTTTTGAGAATTTCATAGGGGTTGCACTGAATCTACAGGTAGTTGAGGCGAGTATTGCCAAAGTTTATAAATGACTGCGCTTTCACAGTCATCACTTGATCCTCACATTGACCTTGTGAAGTTAGTGTTACAAACAGTGTGTTTCCCATGCTACACATGAGGAAATCAAGGTCAAAGAGATGGAGTAACAAGTCTAAGGACTGACTGGTAGGAAGTAGCAGATCCAGGGAGGGTACAAAAGATAGAAGGTGACAACCAGTATGAGACACTTGGGGAACTACATATTCAGTAAAGACTTGACTATTGAGGTGGCTGAGGGAGAAGTGGGGTCTACTAAGGGAGGCAGCACCATATGGGGGTTCAGACCACAGTCTCTGGTCAGACATATAAAAGATCGAATTTCAGCTCAGCTACTTACAAGCTGTGTAACCTTGATGATGACCCTTAACCTCCCAGAACTTCAGTTTCCACATCTATAAAATGGGGCGATATTATCAATCTAATTAAGCTTGTCGTGAGAATGAAATGGATACCAAGTGCTATTCCTGGTACACAGGAAATGCTCAAGAAGTAATAGTCTTTAGTTTCCAGACTTCAGAATCTGATCGGCTTATCCCAGCTGATGAATTGATTTTATCCTGGGTCAGGTGACCATATCTGCTCCATCAGCTATAACCAGGGGGCTGAAGTTAGTTGGTGTGAACATTGTTATTGAAGAGATTAGGGAAGGCAAGAGGAATGGGGAGCATAGAGCTCAGGGCTTGTGCCTATGGTTAAGGCCTAGAGAAGGTAGGACAGAAAAGTGTTTCTTCCAGACGATCTCTGAGAGCTCTA